AGAGAGAGAGAGAGAGAGAGAGAGAGAGAGAGAGAGAGAGAGAGAGAAAGAAACAGAACCAGGGAAGCTTATACAGAGCAGGATAAGTTTTATATATGTATTTGTATGTGTGTGTGTGTGTATGTTTGTTTTTAATGCATCCCAACCCAATTTCTCCTTCCTCTACTCCTCCCAGTTCCTCCCCAACCTTCTTCTCCCTCAGATGCATTCCTCCTCTGGTTTCCTTCAAAAATGAGCAGGCCTCCAGAGATATCCACTGATGTTTTTATATTTTAATATAAGAAATAGACCTACAGGTATTTATTATCTGCCACACTGTAATTTCACCCTTTCCTTGTGTGACACTATTAGTGGGGAGATATAAACAAATGTCTGTTCGCGCCAGATAGGGAACTCATGACAGATGAAAGTAACAATGTTACCAAACTCTAGCTTGGTGAACCAATGAGTTTATTGGGGTGATTCTCAGGAGTATATGAGAGGGGTCACATACAGGAACATAAATGAATCTAAGGCATTAGAATTACCAGAAGACAAGCCTAACATGGGTTCCTGCCAAAAACAAAGCAAAGCAAAGCAAAGCAAAGCAAAGCAAAGCAAAGCAAAGCAAAGCAAAGCAAAGCAAAGCAAAGCAAAGCAAAGCAAAGCAAAGCAAAGCAAAGCAAAGCAAAAAGCAAAGCAAAGCAAAGCAAAGCAAAGCAAAGCAAAGCAAAGCAAAGCAAAGCAAAAAGCAAAGCAAAGCAAAGCAAAGCAAAGCAAAGCAAAGCAAAACAAAACAAAACAAAACAAAGCAAAATAAATGTTGCTTCTCTTCAGCAGCCCTTTCTGCTTCTATATGAATCTGGTAAACTTCAGTGACTTTCTAAGATTTGTGAGTTGTTGATTTTCTCCTTTTAGACCTTCATTCTAAGGAGCTTTCCCCTAGGTTGGAATGCTTCAATTTGGAGGAAATTTTGACAAAACAACTCCCCTAAAAACATATTACTTTTTATGAGAGTGAAGCATGGAGTCCAGAGAGGAGACTAGTATATGCTGTTCTCACTTAAACAGGAAAGGAGGACCACAGCTGAGGTCTTTGGTTCATTCCCAACCTTTTGCCACTGTCCTATGGATATGGTATTTATCTGTAATGGTTTATTTTCATTTCTTCGGTGTTTCTATTTCTACATTCATCTTTTAGGTTGTGGGCCCAAATGCAAAGAGACTCCACTGGAGTTGGTGTTTGTGATAGACAGTTCAGAAAGTGTGGGACCAGAGAACTTTCAAATCATCCAAAATTTTGTGAAGACTCTGGCTGACCGGGTAGCCTTGGACCTTGGCACAGCCCGGATAGGCATAATCAACTATAGCCACAAAGTAGAGAAGGTGGCTAGCCTGAAGCAGTTCTCCAGCAAGGACGACTTCAAGCTGGTGGTTGACAATATGCAGTATCTGGGGGAAGGCACCTATACAGCTACTGCCCTTCAAGCAGCCAATGACATGTTCAAAGAGGCAAGGCCAGGTATAAAGAAGGTGGCCTTGGTGATCACAGATGGACAGACAGATTCCCGAGATAAAAAGAAGCTGGCAGATGTGGTGAAGGATGCCAGTGACTCCAATGTGGAAATATTTGTGATTGGGGTGGTGAAGAAGGATGACCCCAACTTTGAAATTTTTCACAAAGAAATGAATCTCATTGCTACTGACGCAGAACATGTATATCAGTTTGACGACTTCTTTACCCTTCAAGGTAAGGTTGTCTGCACCGGTGGAAAGGAATATATATTGTTCTTTGAAGTGTTACAGTGCCTGCAGTCAGGGAGTTAAAGACGATTCTGTCAACATTACATTATAACCTATAAACTACAGGAAGTTAAAAACCAAGTGTGATCTCACTGAGTGTAGAGGACACAGTCCTGAACTCATTCATGTGTAGTGAGTGAGTGCTTAGCTGGCTGTGGAGTTTAACCAGAGTTTTCCTGCAGTGGATAGGAATGAAGGGAAAGAATGGGGCTTAGGATACTGTTGTCATTGGTTACTGTTCAAAAGTTCCCTAACTAGAACAAAGGATGTGGCTGCAAAAAACAAAACAAAACATCCTAAAATTGAAAAGAAATACAGACAAAACCTTGATAAAGTTATGGAAGTCTAAAGCAATAAGAAATGAAAGAAACTGGGATCCGGGGTTGTGTTCTGGTTGCCTACTTTATGCTAGCAATTTATCTTAAAGAATAACCTTCGGAAGTATGTCACTATGCTAACCTAGTGGGTGTTCTTATACCAAATATCTTTTCATATTAATTGATATTTACTAATGAGACAGACTAATACACTGATTCATCTGCATTTCATCTAGGGCAGTAGAGTTTCACAGTAAACGTATATTACAATCCTTGAAGGAAAATGACTTATTTTGTCAGGACCCAAACTTAATCCTTTCTTGTCTACCAGCCTTGTGTAGCTAGGTACTACCTCACTACCTCAGGCCCTTCCTACACCAATGACCAACACTGCCAGCCATAGGGTAACTTACTATACTCAGAACCTTTACTAATCTGGGGCTCCATTGTCTCAGTGTTCTGCTGGCTAATGGGTAGGTTATGTGATATACTTAGTTTCATTGGACTGTTCATGTGTTAGAATGATCAGAACTGTCACACACTTGAGAAAATGGTTATATTTTAACAATTGAATTTAGGCTTTATCAACTTAATAAGAATGTTTTTAATTTGTTACAACAATGATGGATTTATTTTTTGGAAAAACTGACTTATTGTTAGCCCTAAAACCAGATCATTGACCTATTTTATATTGTAGTAGGGGGCTAGCACTTTTTACAGAATAACACAGTGTGCTGGCACTTGGGATAAATGGGCAGTGCTATTACTTATGCCTGCTGTGCTATTGTGTATTATTAAATAAAGAGATTTGACATGATCATTTACAGGCAATATAAAAATGCTTCCTACTGTAGTTAACTTGGCAGTGCTTTTCCAATAGTGGGAGGTAGCTTGCTTTAACGACAGTGCTGATCTCCTTAAGGAGGTGTTGAGTAAAGTTTCAATGCTTCCATTAACCCCCTTTTCTGGTTTTTTTTTTTTAAAGATACTCTGAAACAAAAATTATCTAAAAAAATTTGTGAAGATTTTGATTCCTATCTCATTCAAGTTTTTGGATCATCATCTTTTCAACCTGAATTTGGGGGGTCAGAACGAGAGGACAGCATATCCACTCCAAAGCCTGCAAAAGAAATTTCTAAGTTGGTAAGTAGCTGTGAGTTGGTAAGTAGCTTTGACTCATTCCTTGCACTTAAAGGGTGTAGTTTGATTTTGAAGACACTATGCCTGCAACTAAGTGCTCACATTCAGCTGAGAGCTATGTGTAGTTTTAGGTCCTCGGTTCCAAGCATTGCCACTTTGGTGATAGATTCCCAGTTCTGAAATAGCCCTGGAACTTATAGCATAAATGTGGGATTAATTTTTCTGTATTTGATAATAATTTATTAAATGTTGCAAATGTGATATTTATGCTATTCTATTACCATGATTATAACCATGTACCCTGGAACAGATTAATACTACATTATATAAATTTACCCCCTTGGTATAATTTGTAGATTCTTTTCTATCTCTCCTTCAGTAATTCATTGCTGCACCCACCTTGTACCCTCTCAAGTTTTCACATAGTTTACAGGTATGTCCTAGTGCCAACCTACTCCCTACCGTGTTCTTTTCCTTGGTGCTTTCTACTTTTGTTCATGGAAAGAGAGGGGTTGGGGTTGTGCATGATAATGGTACAAGGTGTGTTCTCAATGTTGGAGCTCTTCAGTGAGGGTAGGTGCCTTCTGAAGATAGAGACAACCATGACTGTCTCCTTAGCAAACTCCTGGGAACTGACTTAAGCCAATCAGATCCAGAGAAAACTGAAGAGTCTCCCATAGTTACGTATAAGTATTGAATACAATCTCTTCCTCATCAAGTTCCCAAGTAAAGTTGGTCTGTCTAGACTGGCTTCTCCTACTTCTTATGGATCGTATTCAGAGAATGTGGAGAGAGTCATGATATTATTCTTTAAGTCAGTGAAACGCTATCCTTTTATTGAAGTTTCATTAAGGCCAATCATCATAAGCATGTGAAATAATATTCTAGCACTGGGATGTGGCTGACTAGAGAGACTAAGACCCCAAGAGACGTCAGTATCAGGACTCAGAGCCAGGTTTGTTGAGGAGTCCTGCCTAGGATGCCATTCCTAAGGGCACAGATTGCAGAACCCACTAGATTTTTATTCCTTATTCAGAAAGGGACAGAAATCCTCTGACATGCTTCCATCTGTTGAAATACTGACTCCAAATCAGTATTTCTATTAGAGCAAGAGACTTACACTGAATTATTTTGAAATCCACACATATGTTTACACCATCAGATGTAGACCAGATGTTAACACACTAATTGTCGTATCTTAAATACTTTTGACTGACAGGCCATAGAATTTCTGTTTCAGTTTTTCAGTTTTATCTTTGAATTGCAAAAGTAGTCATAGAAAATGCTCAAGTGAATAAGCATGATTAAATAAAATTAATAAGTTTATTAAAACATTTATTTTGTAAATGTTCACTTGGCTCAGTGATAAAGTGTGTTTTCAATCCCAGCATTCAAAGCAAAGTAAAACTTATTTATAAAAGGTGGTAGAAACTAGGATTTTGATCACAGAGTTTTCCTGGCCCTTATCTATCTAAAACTTTTAAAGTGAATTATCAACAATACTGTATGACCAGGGACATATTCTTTTGACTGTGACTTGACACTGTTGCTGTCTACAAGATCCATACTTGAGAACCCCATAACTGTGTCACAATAAGTAGATAGATAGATAGATAGATAGATAGATAGATAGATAGATCTTATAATGCTTTACTCTTACAGAGAAAAGCCTTTAATTGGAACTGGCTTAAAGTGTCAGAGGTTTATCAGCATGGTGGGAAGCACAGCTGCATATGGGCTTACATGGTGTTAGAGAGGAGCTGAGAATTCTACATCTCGAATTGCAGGCAGGAAAGAGAGAGAGAGAGAGAGAGAGAGAGAGAGAGAGAGAGAGAGAGAGAGAGAGAAACAGAAGGAGAGAGAGAGAGAGAGACAGAGACAGAGACAGAGAGACAGAGAGACAGAGAGAGCAGACAGGTGGATAGACTAGGCCTGGCTTGAGCTTTTGAAACCTCAAAGTCCACCCCTAATCACATACTTCCTTCAACAAGGCCACACCAAATCCAGCAAGGTCACACCTTCTAACCTTTATCAAGTAGCTCCTGTTCCCAACAACCAAGCATTGGAATCTATGAGCCCATGCAAGTCATTCTTATTCAAACCACCACATAAGCAGTAAAACTTTTGTGCTATCCCCATGCCTGACCTTGGTGACACTTGTCTTGCCCTCTAAACCATGATTCCTCTTTGTGTGACTTATCCCTTGGATATCTAGCTGAACTATGTGAACAATTTTCTTTTCTTTTTCTTTTAATTTATTTATTTTTATTTATTTTTTTTAAATCAAGTCGTAAGTTTTACTTATTCACACAGGGGTTATAAACACAAAAAGGCAGGATGTGAGGAAAGGGATGACACCGCAGCGTAGGTGTTCAGGAGGAGTACAGATATCTTTCAGAACAGGGTATCAGCTGGGTGAAGGTTCAGGGACAGGTCACTGTGACTCTGCCTATGATTCACTTCTTATCTAAGTTGGTATTATCCACAAGGTCTATGATTACTCAGGCTGGTAAATTTCCACAAAAGCTGCCTGTTTACAATGGCTTATAGCCATCTGTTTCAATGTTTTTCCATAGAGACTCAAGACTTGGTGTTAGTATACATGTATGACAGGCCTATTGCTGATTTTAGGCCTATGGCTGATTATAGACCTTCAGTGTATAAGCAGGGCTGCCCCTGACATCTCCTCCCTTCTCTAAGTATAGAAGGGCTGTGGCAGTTCTAAACTTGCGAAGGCAGGGATAGAGGCCTGACCTCCAGCAATTGAAGGGGACTTTGTAATGGCTCTGGTCCCCCTGTTGTTGTCCAGTGAGGCATGAGGGCCATACCCGACCCGATGTCTTTTTCCTGGAGAGAGGATACTTTTGACATCAACCCCTATGCAGTCAGGCTTGTCCCTCAGGGACCCCAGAGAGATATTTTTAACTTTTATTTATATTCTCTTATGGTGCTTAGCCTCGCAGCCTAAGCGAGAATTCAGATCGTCAGTCAGAGGGGGTTCTGGGTGGCCCCTCTCTGCTTGGTCTAGGGGCAGAAGTCCCCTCTTTTAGGTTGGGTGGAGATGGGTTTTGGGAACACCCTGGATAGAGTAACAACCTCATCTTGATTCTCGTGGTCCTCCATAGCTAACTATGATAATGTATCCAAATAGGTTTTGCTACCAAATTATTTATTTGTTGTTTCACAAAGTTAGTCAGCCTACTTAAGGCCCAGGGACCAAAAGAAATAAGCAAAAATAACCCAATTAATGGTCCCAAGATGGGAGGAAGTAGGGTTGACAACCATGGAGAGGTTGAAAACCAATTCTTGTACCAGCTCTCATCTTTCTCTTTCTCTGTCTGTTTTTTTCTCAGGGCCTTCTCTGATCTTTTTCATGCTCTCTTTAACCATCCCTGTCTTGTCTATGTAATGGCAACCTTCTTCTTTAAGGGATGTACACAGTCAAGAGCTGTACACAGGCTTTTCTATTGTAAAAGAGTAAATCAAGTCCAATAAAGTCGTTTGCAATTTTTGGAGGTCTCTTCAGACAGCAAAATGAGGGATTTCTTCAGATTAGTGATGTCAATCTCTAGCTGTTTGATGTTTTTGTCAATGGCCCGCTGAAGGTATGAGTAGTATAAGTTTAGATCCAGGCCAGCATCTGGATTAGAACTTCTAACATCAGACCTCACGGGTGATTCATTTTTACCTGAAAAGGAAAAAGAAGGGAATTCTCAGGGAGATTCCTCTTCCCTGGATGTCAATTGTGAACAATTTTCTAATAGGCATTTTGATGTTTTCTAAAGTCTTCTTCAAAAGAAACAAGCCCAGGTTTCATTCAGCAAGCAGTATATGAACAGACCCTTTTCTACTCCCTGAACCATGCTTTGTTTATGTTAACATCAGTGATTCCCAATAGCACATCTTGGAAATTTCCTGCCATCTTATGTGTTGGCTCTGATTTCATGTTTATTAGAAAGCTTGGAAAGTACCAGGATGCAATGATGATCTCAGAGTGGAAGCAGAGGGATGGCTGAAGCACAAGAAGTGGTATAAATTAGTTTAGGAAGGGAAGTAGAAAATGTCTTGGTCTTCTGAAGCTAAGGGTAAAAATAAGATGGACAGGCTTAAATAACAAACATTAGTTTTCACTGTTCGAAGACGGGAGAGTCTGAATCTGATGTTAGGTGACAGCTCAATTCCTGGCTTATAAGCAGGTATTTCCTTGTTATGTATATAAATTCTGGAGGAAAACAAAATAATGGGTTGATACTAGTAATTTCTTAAAGGAAGAGTAGAGGGAAAGGTGATTTTAGCACAGGGATCATGTACGAAGGGCAGGGGTGAGCTCCAAAGTCCATGAATGGCAATTAAAGAGAAGAGACAGCTTCAGTCTGGTATCAGACTAAGGTGTATATATAGTACAATGGAACTTGAGAATGAATTATAAATGGTTTAATGTCTCATGCCCAAAGAGTTTGAACTTAATTTACAGACCAGGTAGTATGGTGTAAAGCAAAGGTCATATGATGAAGATTGGTTCATAAAAAGAATAACTCTGGTATGGTGTAGAAAATAGGAGCAGAGGGTGAGGAGGCTGGAGGCTGAGATATGAGATGTGTGATAGTCTTGGTGAGAAGTTATGAGGTTATAGATAAACTAAGCAAGGACCATAGACATAGAAAGAAGGTATAGAGTGGGAAACTTTTTCTAGGTAGGATTAGCAGGATTTGGTGATTGGGTTGGAGGTTAGAGCAGGGATATGTTTTCATGGGATCCTGGAGATTTGAGCTTACAGACACAATAGCCTGAAATACCGTAGACTATAATCAAGACTACTACTGCTGGGAGTGTGGCTCCTTTTAAATTCTTTTATTTAAAAATTATTTATTTCTTTTTTATTGGATATTTTATTTATTTACATCTCAGATGTCATTCCCTTTCCCCATCCCTGCCCCAGAAACCCCCTATCCCATCCCCCCTTGTACTTCTTGCTTTTTTATTAGTATTTTAAGTTAACATAC